CGCTGTGATGACGTCAGCTACGCGGTTTCGTCGAGCGCGCTTTAGTCGACCGCGGTTTTGTGGTGGAACCGTGGCATAGACCCAAAAATTATCTGGCTGGCAGGAGGTGTGAGCGCATGCATGGTGGAACTGAGCTGGCCAATGGCTCATGTGCCCACAGAGGGGGCCTCACAGGTGGCACTCCGAGACCCACCCCAGTCCTATCCTTACAGATAGATCAAGACACTCATGTGTCACTCAAACATGCAATGATCCTGTCTAACAAATCCGAACTCACCAGGCGGCTGCAGATGCCCACCATCCAAGATGTAAAATATCTGCTATGGTGGGCTAGAAAAAGAGGAAGCAGAGAGCCTAATTTTAGAAGGACCTCAAAAACACCCATGGATTCTCCCCGTCCAACCTCCCTATAGGGATTGACTGACTTATTCATTTAATGGAATTTCACGGCTGCCTCTGATTTAATGGAAGGCTGTCTTTAATTAAAGTCTTTTCTTAGCATATTAACACTGCGGGGGCCCTTAGTGTCCCGCTTCATACCCAAAGAATTATCTAACGAGGTTCTTAATCATACAAATCAAATGGTTGCCCCAAAAAGGTGCTTTTTCCAAAAGGCAACTTTTGATATATGGGATAGTTCAGCGATGGTGAACCTTTTTTGGCTCCCGTGCCGTAAGTGGGGGGAGTGCACGGGGGTCGTGTGCAGGTGTGCCGTATCCATAATGCAATGCACAACCCCCCCAGAGTGCATGCGCGCACTACAGGCACGACCCCCCATTTTTGCATGCTTTTTTCACCCTCCCCAGGCTCCAGAGGCTTTATAGGAGCCTGGGGAGGGAGAAAACAGCCTCCCCCCACCCCAGAAGCCCTCCGGAGGCTTCAGGGACCTTCAGGAGGCCTTCCTGAAGCCTCCAAAGCAGTCAAAACGACCCTCCGAGCAAACAGGAAGTCTATTCCTGAATTTCCGGTTTGCCCGTAGGGCCGGTTTTTTGCGCTCCGGAGGCTTCAGGGAAGCTCATGAAGCCTCCGGAGGGCGTCCGGGGAGGAGGTGGGGGAGGCTCTTTTCGCCCTCCCCAGGCTCCTATAAAGCCTCTGGAGCCTGGGGAGGGCGAAAAATAGCTTTTAAAAAGGGCGAAAAGGGCGTATGCGCGCTGGCCAGCTGACAGGGCAGCGCCTCCCGTGCCCTGACAAATGGCTCTGCGTGCCACCTGTGGCACGCGTGCCATAGGTTCGCCATCCCTGGTATAGGTTCTTCTGCTTGAACAGGGGGCTCAATCTCCCCAAAGACCTCCAAGATCCCTTCTAGTTCTATTCTATTCTATTCTATTCCATTCCCCACTCCACTCCATTCCATATTTTCTACTCTACCCTACTCTATTCTGTTTTCTATTCCATTCCATATTTTCCACTCTACTATGTTTTCTATTTCATTCCATTCCATATTTTCTATTCTATTCTATTCCATTCCCCACTCAATTCCATTCCATATTTTCTACTCTACCCTACTCTATTCTGTTTTCTATTCCATTCCATATTTTCCACTCTACTCTACTATGTTTTCTATTTCATTCCATTCCATATTTTCTATTCTATTCTATTCCATTCCCCACTCAATTCCATTCCATATTTTCTACTCTACCCTACTCTATTCTGTTTTCTATTCCATTCCATATTTTCCACTCTACTCTACTATGTTTTCTATTTCATTCCATTCCATATTTTCTATTCTATTCTATTCCATTCCCCACTCAATTCCATTCCATATTTTCTACTCTACCCTACTCTATTCTGTTTTCTATTCCATTCCATATTTTCCACTCTACTCTACTATGTTTTCTATTTCATTCCATTCCATAT